CAGACTTTTCAATAGTCTGCGGCAGCAGTTGCTCCTCGATCCAGGTAAAGATACTCTCGTTGTGCGGGTATGGGCGACGGCTGATCCAAAGATCTTGTGGAGCACAGCCGTATACTTTGCCCAGCCCAAGAGACGCTCTGGCATCACCAATCGCCTTGGAGACCTTCTTACCGTGATCGGTCGCGAACTCTTTGGCGTCTTTTCCGCTGTGGTGACGCAGCGAATAAAGATTGTTGTCAATGTATCGACGGGAGAAGGTGAGCTTTGGACTCTGAGCTAGAGGCGTTGCGTCTTTGGTACCGCGAGTACTGAGGCCGTCAATAGACATGAAGCCGAGCGTCTCCATATATCGCCCACTTTCAAGAGCGACAGCTTTGTTATCAAAGATCTTGTAGTCGCGGATGTGGCTATGACCTCCGAAGAACTGGATGGGCGTATCCCAATGCATCGACCGTATAGTAGAGAACAAAAGCGCATATTCCTCGGAACGGATGTCAACATGGCCAAAGACGATGATCAAGTCGATGTCCTGGCTTTTAAGGGCTTCTGTGAACCACTCCTCGTGCACTGTGTCCTCAACCCTCTGAACGACAGTGTTGTTTGCGTTGCCCGTGAAATCGAATAGGAATCCGAAGGCCAGGATGCGTATACCTTGGTTTTTAGTAGTGAATATTTTGAAGCGGGGTGCGAGTGGCTCCCGCTCCCCAGTCTCGGGGTTGTAGATGTCTAGATTGGAGGCCAAGTAGTTTCCTTTGAAGTCGGGAACCGTGTGGAAGTATTCGCCCTCAGCAGTGTTTGCTTTGTACAACTCATGGTTGCCTGAGCATATCAGATCGATGTTCTGTTCTTTGGCGATCTCGTAGGTAAACCTAGATGTTGGTGTGGGAAGTCAGTACTCATCTCACCTGCATTTTGAAGGGAGTACTAACTTTCCACGAGGCTTTGAGGAGTCGTAGATGGCGTTTCCTTCTGCAGGGGGAAACATGAGATTAGTATACATATCATACGCATCTTTACACCCAACTCACCAACACGGTCTCCAGTATCGATGAGCAGCAAGTCTGAGCCATCCGCATCTGCTTTCTCACGCATGTGCTTTGCAAAAGAGACATAGTCGCCCCAATCAGAAGAGAAAGACGCCTCTTGGAGATGGCCGCCCCACCACCCATGCACATCGGTAGTATGCAGGAAGTTGAGCTGTGCCCACGGTAGGTCGCGCAGAGGAGCCGCTTTAGGACGCGGCGCTTCAGGTTGCACACAGGATGCCGCTTTGACAAGGGCAAAAACAACAAGGGATTTGTGAAACATGGTGAAAGACATGGCGCTGTACTACCCGTCCCCGTCGCAAATGAGGTTGTCTCAAGCAACCATCAAGGTACTGGCGATGCTGGAACGTAGTCCGATGACAACCTTGGGAAAGACAAAGGTCGAGATGGAACGCGCAGGAGCAGGAAGCGAAACGAAAGCAGCAAAGTGGTTGCAGCGGTGATGAACAGGTGATGTTGGATGTTGCGGTCAGTAGGTCGATAGCCAGCCACTCGGGCCCGCTTTTAGCCTAGTAGTAGCACCAAAAGGTAAGGCATGATGCATCCGCCGCCCGCGACGACGCCAGCAAGCTGCAAAAAAGTGCAAAAAGATAATGTCAGCGGTGGGATTCGAACCCACGCAGGTTGCCCTATGAGAAACCTCTTGAGAGTGCGTCTTCCGGAGAAGACAAGCTTTCGCTTGAGTCACACGCCATAACCACTATCGGATGTTAGATGGGAAGATGTCAGGAGCTGGGAGAAATGCTTACCTCGGCCACGCTGACTGATTCGATGACAAATTTTTAGTCTAAACATTATATATTACAGAACGTTCTTTGTGCTCTAGCTGCATGCTGTGGGGTGGTCTCCATCCCCTTGTCTTGAAGTGTGTAAGCTCAGCAACCATTTTCGTGTAGCATGAACCAGACCCATTCTCAACATCCACACTGTGTAGGTTACATAAGAACAACGTATGTGTGAGCGGTACAGCTTCTCGGTCAGCCGTGGTCCACAAGACGGCCACGAGTTAAGGTCGCTGACACCGAGGATCGACATATTGACTTGCTGAAAATAGGAGACAAAGCAGCAAAAGGCTTGCAGTGGTGACGAGACAGGTGATATTAAATGTTACGAACGAGTGTCGGACGGTCAGTCGATGGTAGGCAGGCTGCCTAGGTAGCCAATCAGGCAGTGACGTACGCGGTGAATGGTTGACGGGCCGTGGCTGCAGCGAGCTGGTCCATGTGAAGTCTAGCGCCAGCCTTGCTAAATGCAGTTCAACATTTTTCTATGTACACGACAACACCAGCCACCTCACAACAACTTCCAATCCAAACACTTTTACGCGCATCAACCTTTGTTCGTGTCGCCAACTCTCGTTTGTGTCGCGCGCAATGGCTAGAGCCTCCCGTTCTGCGAGCGCAAAGCCCGCTGAGAAGAAAGACGCCAAAGATGTCAAGGTGAACGGCACCCGTACGTCACGTCCACCCACAGTAACCATGCTATCGCTGACAAACCTCGCAGTCCCACGGAGAGGCGCGAAGAAAGCCGAAGACGCGCCTGTCGCCAACGGCATAGCTGAGGAAGCCGAGGAAACTGAGGACGTCGAGATGGCCGACGAAGACACCAAAGAAGTCGAGGCAGCTCCACCAAAGCGTAAGCTCAACGCGTCCGAAACAAGGTCAACCGCTAAGAAGACAGCAGCTGCTGGACGCAGTCGCGCAAAGAAGACAGAGACTCCTGCACCTGAACCCGCGGCCGCGCCTAAGAAGACGACCAAGCGCAAGAAGGACGATGAAAGCGAACCGGAGGTCGAAGACGCGCCTGCGCCCGCCGTGAAGAAGCCCAAGGTAGCGAAGGCTGCCCCCAAGGCTGCCCCGAAAGCAGCCGCGAAAGCCGCCCCGAAAGCCGCGTCAAAGACCGCAACGCCAGAGCCCGAAGCCGCGAAGGTCGATCCGGCTCTGATCCCGAACCCCAAGGGCCCGCGCCGCAACAAGGGCAAGAAGACTGAGATCAACGAGATCCGCTACACGGAACCTCTGAAGGTTTTTGTCTTTGGTGAAGGCTCTTCTGGCGAGCTCGGCTTCGGCGCTACAAGCAAGGCCATCGACGTGAAGCGGCCGCGCTACAACGAGCCTCTGTCCAACTTGAACGTTGTCAAGATTGCTACTGGCGGCATGCACGTTGTCGCACTGACAAAAGACAACAAAATCCTGACATGGGGTGTCAACGACAACAATGCCCTTGGACGCGACACGTCCAACGCACCCGTCAAGATGCGTGATCTAGACGCGGACGATTCCGACTCCGACTCTGAGGATGAGACCGGCGGCTTGAACGACGCTGAGGCTACACCAACACCCGTACCATCCGAGTTCTTCCCTGAAGACACCACCTTCGTCGACGTCGCTGCCGGCGATAGCTGCTCCTTCGCACTCACTACTGAGGGTGCGGTCTATGGATGGGGTACATTCCGAAAGAACGAAGGTATCATGGGCTTCGAACGCGACAATCATACAGCGCCTCGACCCGTCTACATCGACAGCATAAAGAAGGTCATTCAGCTCGTGTGTGGTACCAACCACGTCTACGCCCTGGACAAGGACCACCACGTATATGCTTGGGGCAACGGCCAGCAAAACCAGCTTGGACGCCGTGTCACTGAGCGCAATCTCATCCAAGGTTTGCAGCCCAACAAGATTGGTTTCCACGACTCTTCCATCAAGAAGCACAGCCAACGCATAACACACATCGCATCCGGCGACTACCACGGTCTTGCCATCGCAGAAGATGGGCACGTCTGGGGCTGGGGTGCGAACAACTACTGCGAGACTGGCTACACCAAGAATGCTGGTGCAGATGACGCAAGCGTTCTCCAACCCAAGATCATACACAGTTTGGAAGGCAAGGGCGTCCAGTCATTAGCAGGAGGCTCGCATCACAACTTGGCCATCACCAAGGACGGACAGGTGCTAGTCTGGGGTCGCTGCGACGGCTCACAGACTGGTCTTCTTCCGTCCCAGCTTGATGCAGAGACAGATGAGAGCAAGGTTCTTAAGAACAACGGCAAGGCCAAGATCGTCGTGCAGCCGACACCACTTCCCGACCTCAAGAACATTGTCGCTGGTGCATGCGGTCCTGATCACTCCATCGTCGTTGACAAGGACGGCAAGGCTTACTCATGGGGTTTCTCGGTCAACTTCCAAACGGGTCAGGGTACCGACGACGACATTGAGGTCCCTACCTTGATCGATAACACCGCTGTACGTGAGACGAAGCTTACATGGGCTGGTTGCGGTGGTCAATACAGTATCCTGGCAAGCAAGAAGGAGTAGGCTGTCCAGCCTGCATCTCAGCTCGACGCTGGGAACATTGATGGTGGCAACTCTTCATCAGGATGCTCTCCATTTTTTCACATTTAGTTGTTGTGTTTCACCTTTGGGACATTCAGACCAGCATTCACGGCGTTCTAGTCTTTCACGGGTCGTTTTGGTGTGGCGAATATCTGATTCTGCACACGGGGTTATCCAACGTATTCATTGCGCGGCTGAGGGTTAGGCCTTGGAAAACGACATGGCTATAGTAGAAGGCGTAGATTGGGAGGGAGGCTCAGCCGTGCTTGTGAATAACTTGTAATAGTACGATGCCATGCTATCTTTAAAGATGACTTCCTGTACATATACGCGGTGATTTTCGTATCTCAGAAACTTTGCGCAGACGTGTTGTGCCATGAGATGAAAGACGTAGGGAAGGCTCATGATAGACCGGTGAAAGACAGACCCTTACATAAGCAACCGATGACGCTCGACCCTTCTTAGCCAAAAAACATCATCACCAATGTCCAAAGCGCATCGATAATAACCCCGCAACAGCCCACTCCCACGATCGCAAGCTTCTTCGTACGTCCTCTGCATACAAATACCCAAACCCTTCGAGATTGACGGATTGCGCAGCATCTCACCCGCCTCAGCAACGATGCCACCCAAGCAGATGACAGGCAAGGGCCGTACCCTCAACGAGCCCAGCTTCGCGTCCAGCACCATCTCAGCTTTTACGAGCAAGGATAACAGGAGTATTGTTACTGCCGCGGGAATGTTCGCTGTAAGCCACCCTGGGTTGTCGAAAATATCAGACGAAGGATAGAGCACGATACAGAAGGAAAACAGAGGCAAGGGCAAAGCTAATGACCGCGTGTAGATTGGCGTAACGTTCTTGCACAGCAGCTGGGCCGAGATCCTACTTCCCGCGTAAACCCGAATCGGTCTCATACGAGTAGACAATGCGCCCGCGTCAGAGAACGAGTTAGGCGGAAATGCGAGTAGCCATCGCAGGGCCACGAACGATCCTCGACGCCATGTACAAAGAAGCAAACTCTGGTTTGAGGAAGAGCATTGAAAAGGAAGGCGTTCAGGCACGAAAGCACACCTATCGGTAGTGTGAAACCAATATCCCCAAAGTCTTCTCTGAAAACGGTCTGATAACGATCTTGTAACATTATGTATAACAATGACGAGAACACGCCCACAAACGCTGTGCTTCCTGTTTGTCATTGCAGTGTCTTCAATTAGGCTTTTGACAGTTCGTCTCACCACCTCATATCTTTCGCGATCAGTCATCTCAGTACGTCACTGCTCTCTCCACACAAAGATCCGAAACACCATGCGCGTCACCCGCACCGACACGTATGAAGGTTCTGTAACCCACACAACTGGAACATACCAAGCACTGTCTTGCTGTCACAGAAATGCTTAGCAAAATAGACTTTTCGGATTGAACCGCATCGTGTTCGTCTTTTCTTCTTTCTTCCTTTTCACGTCTCCAGAGACGCAGTCTCAGCTTGGCTCGAGTTTCACGTCCCCTTGTTGAGCTTTCCCTCAACTTCCTTTACGAGTACTAACGTTATTGGCGAGAATACGCGCGTCGGCTGCTGAGTTTGACAGAACGGTGTGTGACGTCCTTTCTTTTGCACGATGGCGAGATCGGAGACGCGGATTTGCCATTTGCCGTCCGGGTTTCCCGCGGGTTTGTCACGAGCCGTTTCGGGCGCGTAATCGGACGTATCGGAAGCACACGCGTGGCGTACGCACATACGGCGTGGTGAACAATTTGGTGGACGGTATCGTTTGGCTATCGTGAAGTGTGCCTTGGCGCTCATGAGCTGTCTGTTGTCATTGCACGCGCCAGTCATTTCGCCGAGACAGGCTTTGGGTTTATTGGCAAGTTGCAACAACGATGGTGATTCGTACTCGGTAGATTACTTTCATACGGCACGGTGGCGTCAAGGACTAGTTAGTCTGCGGCGCAGCGAAAGTAACTTGAATGGTAGTTTGAAAACCTGGTTGTTGGTACTTCCACGCGCTGGTGGCGCATGCAGAAGGCCTAAACTGCGTGGTAGCTATCTACTGCACGTACTCCGGGTACCAATGCACGTATTTACACGATATCACATTGCGGCGGAAACAATTGTTGGTGGTAGTTCTTCATTCGTAAGGTTCGATTACGCCTTTCATACATGCAAAGCCGACTCTAATAGCGGATCAACAGTCCGGCTGTGAAAAAAGAGTGTACAGGTGTTTATGCATGCCAGCAAAAACCAGCAATTATGCTCGCTACAAATACAGCAAGATCGAGCGCTGTCAAAGCAAGTACGCCGAAGCAATCAACATGCGTTCGCGAGGATGAAAGGAAATGTAATGTGGATCGTAAAAGTGCGTGATGCTGGGGTATCTCTAGTCTATACTTCTCTAACCCAAACCTGATAAAGTAGTTAGTACGTAGTCTTCAAGCTGAAAGTGCACGATGAACTTACCTCCATCTTGGCCATATCGCTGCCTTCCTTCCTTGCAACACTCTTCGCCGTCTGGATGGCCATGTCAAGATCGTCCTGGTCGGCCATGGTGATCATGTCGCCATCGTCTTTGAACTCCACCTTGAACTTATTTCGCACACCGAACTTCTCCCGAATCTGTTGCCAGAATTCAGTGATTAATTGATCAGAACTGATAAAGACGTAACGTGTGTCGCTAGAGTGAACCTTCACTCTGACTTTGCTGCCTGCACCGCGGGTGCTACCACCAGATCTGGCGGAGCGGGCGGGGGATCGTCTCCTGGATTTTGTGCGAGACATCATCTCGAATTCGGCGTCATCAAGATCACTACCATCGTAGTCGTCTTCGTCTTCTTCTTCAATGTAAGCCGGTCGCCTGCTCTGTTTTGAGCGAGCGTATGCCCCGCGGCTTCCACGGGAAGGCGGGTAGGGGTCATTGTCGTAGTAGTCGTCAATGATATCATCGTCAGACCCACGGCGACGTGGCCTATAGTCACGGTCTCGCTGGTCTCGCTGATCCCGCTGATCCCGTTGCCCTCGGTCTCGCATTGACTCTGAACGACTTGGTGGTGGACGTTCAGAGGCGGAGCGCTGTGTTGGCTGGCGACGAGGCGGCTCGTTGTTGCTTTGCTGATCAAAGGCAGCTCGTCCAAGGTTCAGAGGCTGAGGCTTAGGGCCACCGCCTCGTACGGATTGCGCGCGGCTCATGGGAGCATCGGCGGCAGGTCTCCGCTCTCCACCAGATCTCCTGTCACCAGACCTTCTGTCTGCCTCCGGTGGCGGTGTGGGTGGGAACATGTTACGGTTCATTGGTGGTTCTGACTGCTGGCGTGCTCTGCTCTGAAGTTCTGGCTTGACAAGGTTGGTCGCCGCGTACGAGATCTTATCCTCAGTTCTGTCATCTTTTGCGGCTTGGCCTCCCTTCTTGATTTCGGCGCCAGCGAAGCCAGTAAAGGCATTGGCCCGGTCTGAAGCAGCGACCAGGCGGGCTTTTCCAAGATAGTCCTTTGTCTTCAGGTTCTTGACCTTAGCTTCGTTGGGACGGTAGACAATGCCGACGGGAATGGAGAAGACAGTGTAGCCTTCTGCTTCCTCCCGAATAGCCTCGTCGATCACATCATGGTCGGGCACCACTTTCTCCTTGGCTGCGAAAGACAGATCCTGTAGACCGGCGTCTCTTTGCTGGAGGTAGATGTAGCAAAGACCGCGATTGAACAGTACCTCGCAAGAGTATAGCTTGAACTTGAGACCCAATTGTTCGTAATCGATGTTGTTGTTTCCGCGTAGGTAGAGGAGTGTGTCGTTGAAGTTGGCGAGGGCTTCCTCGAAGTCGCCCATAAGGAAGTTTGACACACCCTGCTGGAAGTATGCCACTGCGAGGTACTGGTCCAGACGCACAGCGCGCTGGTAGCAGTCGACCTGTGTAGCCATCAGCACGTACTCCTACTACTGGAGCCATTGTTCAACTTACCGCCTTCTCATGCTCGCCAAGTGTGGCATGGATTACGCCGCAGTTGAACAGAATCTTGGACGTATCGGAGATTGTGTCAAAGACCTTCAATGCGACGTCGAACTCATTGTTGTCGTAGCTGGCGAGGGCTGCCACCCAGGTTTCGATTTCCTACCCCACCTATCAGCAATTGAACTCGGAAGGAGCGGCGACGCGCGGGAGGAAGGAGCGCACCTGCTTCAGAGACATGACGAGTGATCTTCACTTGTTACCCGGCAGTATGGTGTCGTCAAGCCTCAAGGTAGTGCCTCTTCTAGCACTCCACCGTTGGACGAGGGGTCGTGTTCCTTCTCACGCGCAAACTTCCGGATGCGTTCGTCTCAATTCCACCAGATTACAGAGTAGCCGCCGGGGCCTGTGGGTATGCGCGACGAGGTGAATTAGTGTCCAGTAGGTGTGTGTCGCTATTAAGTCGTCGAGGTACACCGAGATGCGGTGGGTTGCGCGGGGGAGTTAACGATCGTACAGGTGTGGGAATTAAGGCACAGTAGGGAAACCGGGAGAGAGAGGAGGAGGTTTCGAGGGCAATGCTCGGAAGAGACAGGGACACGGTGGGAATTTGGCGGGCGGTTGCAGGAGGGCTACCGGTGGGGAGACCAATTCTGAGGTCCAGCGCGTTTGAGAGACAAGCCTTGGCCGACACGGTACCCGGCACCGTGATTGGATCCCTGCACCGTGAAGCCCGAGAGCCACAGCGCTACGCGCCTGTCCAAGACGCCTCAACCCGGCCGACTCGAGCATGACACCACCGTCCTGCGATGCTCCGAGAGCCTAGCGATTCTCCCAAGCGCCTCTGCAGTCCCCATAGCCTCGCGTCGTGAGGCTCACTGCCAGCAACCCACCGCGGCGCACATCGGACTGCTGGCCCCCTGCGATCATCGAGTGATGGCGTTTGAGGTCTGTAACGTGCAAATCCGCCGACTGAGACAGCCACGTGACGCAGCCTCTCCGCAGCCACTCATCCCGTCGCCTGGCGTTTTCAGGCATGAACGCATGACGATTCCAGGCCTCGCAAAGTCCGTGTTCGCGCAGTCTTAGTTTCGGCCTAGATTTCAAGGTGCAAGCCCTATCTCTCGTCACCAAACCAACACGGCATTTCGACGGCACTTTATTACTTGGTCTATCTTGGTGTCTCTTGAACTCATAGCATACCGCGATCGCGCTGTTCTTCCCTCTCCTGCCAGACCGTCTTGCCAGAACATGAACACACCGTCTTGTCGTCTGCACAACCGTTAGCACATACGCACGCGAAGAGTACCACACGCCATGCGCAGAACACGTGGGGTACCAAGAGCACTCACTGTCCCAAACACCAGCGCTACGTGCGATGACACCCACTAGCGTATCCGGATCGTTCTTGTCAAACTGTGCAAGGTCAGAGTAGATCTCAGATCAACTAGCGGTTTCGCATACCTTGCCGTCTTGCTCTCGCGCAACCACGATGCTACGTCCGATCATCTCCCAGATGTGGATGGGCTTGTCCAGGAACACAGATCCGACTCCACCCTTTCCTACCTGGACGGTTCCAAAGATGCCCCGACACGGCTTGTCTTCCTTTTTGGCCTTGAGATACTCCCAGATGGCGCCGGTAGATTCTGGTCCGTCGGATATGTCGCCAGATTCGCGAACTGTGGCCTGGTACGTTCCAGGCGACAATCCCCTTATGCTCAGATCGATGATAGTCATACTCGGAGCTACTTCAACCATGCGCACTAATCCTCGAACTTTGTTCTCTACATTAGGTGCGTGCGATTCTAAGATGCATACTGCGGCGCCTGTTCGGACGTTAGAATCGACGCACATGCCGACTCTTCAAGATGGAGCATACTGTCTGATCTTCCAGATCCTCTTAGAATTGCATCACGGCCAGTTGCTTGAATAGCCTCAACAATGGCCGATGGCGCTGCTGTGCCCTCGACCGATACCAGTTGATCTTTAAGGTTGGCAGTGATTTTGTTGACACCTACATGCTGTTAGAAGCCGGATGACGTGCATCGGGATCAGTCGTACCACTCAATTGCTGGAGGGAGCCTTCGATGTCGTTGATGCACGACTGGCAGGTCATAGGCACCGCGAAGATGGTTTCAAACGACGGAACAGTCATTTTGAAAATCGTGAAATCGAGTGTAATGTTGTTTGAAACCCTGTGCTATTGGTAGAATGGTCAAGTTGCGAGCATGCCACTTCGCCTTTGGGACGCTTTGAAATCGAGGCCCCACCTAACCATGTTGTGGCGCAGGGCGGGCGGCCGTCCCCGGGCCATATTTTATCGCCAATCCACGTTGGATCCCAGGCTTGGCATCGACTTCCATCCACGCCGACAAGCCAACGCCGCTCGTAGCTTCGCCAGTATCTCTCGAGCGAGGACCCCGGACTCCAGGTCAATACCGACGCCCGACTATACTTGGCCTATTAGGTTATTGACTTCACAGCCGCCATGTCGCAAGTCATAGGAAAGGTGTGTATTCTGTCGGACCTCCGCATCTCAGAACTCCATGATCGCAGCCAAATTCACCATCGCGAGACGTGCTATTTCTAGGGCTAATATTTTATCTAGACGCGTCTGGCCTACGCCCGCTCATGGCACCATCTCGACATCGGCTCCGACCCACGCGCGCTCGGCCGCGTCGCCTCCGCTATAGCCCTGACCCTCATGGGAAAACACAAGCCCATCTTCGACCCTTCGACTGATTGCGGCGACTACGTTGTAGCCACAAACTGCTCACAATTGCACACCACCGGCAAGAAGCGCTTCCAGAAACTTTACCGCACACACACGACTCGTCCGGGCTCCCTCAAAGAACTCTCCATGGACAGGATGATAGCGAAGTGGGGAGGCGGAGAGGTCTTGAGGAAGGCGGTCAGCGGCATGTTGCCCAAGAACAGGTTACGGAAGGACAGGCTGGCAAGGTTGAAGACGTTCGAGGGGAGAGCGCATCCTTACAAGGAGAATATCCTCAAGGTGGGGAACGGCGGTGGACAGAGTATAGTGGAGCACGATGAGGTCAAAAAGACGTTTGCAGAGGTCAAGGCACATAATGCGGAGGCACCAGTATCATGACGAGGGGTGGTCAAAGGAGGCAAGAGAAGAGATACCATAGCATTAGGGTGCGTGTATAAGACATGTAAATCTACATAATTGTGCTTAAGCCAGGCTTTATGTTCTACAGCCATATGGACTTTGTTAATGGGTTTGACGTGGGTTCGATAATTTCAGGCGATCTCTGATTTGTCACGTCATATGCCGCGAAAGTGAATAAAACGGTTGCATTCGCTCTACTCGTAAGATAATATACTACTCTCGCTCGTCCCCAACGAACAAAAAGAAATGGTGGTATAATGTTCTACTCTCCTTTGACAATCTCTCCAAAACTCGCTCGATGACCCAAAGAAATGTACAAGAAACCAATGTGCGACGACATGATGCTACTGCATCTACAACTTCGACTTGGTACCCTTGCGAGTAACAGTGCAGAAAATCAGACCGTTGGGGTCAGATTGAGGAGCAAAGACAGTGGCGTCTTTGCCTGTGTTCTTGATGCCCTTGTGCCACGAAAGATCTAGTGCCATGTTAGCGAATGAATGCAGGAGGAGACAATTGGTCCCACGTACCGACTTCAAAGTAGTGCTTGTTGGGCAGCGCATAGTCCACAGCATCCACCTGAGGAACAGCGGCCAAGATCAGGTCGCACATCTTGTACATAGTTGCTTGTACACTGGCGCTATCATCCTCGGCGAAGACCTTCATAGTGATATCCCTTGCCGCGGTCCAGGCACTGTTGAAGTCTACGGCCTTGGCCTCATCCAAGTTCTTGAATAGCTTCCATTGCCAGCCAGCTTCAACCTCTGTACTCAGAATGCGGTCCCATGTTTCGGGCAGACGCGTGTATTCGTCACGGTGGAAGCCATGGAATGCTGACCCTGTGCTCTTCAGAACAAGGAGCTTCTCAATCTTGGAGCGAATAGAGACACCCTCGTTCTCGCGTGTCACGGATTCGACCACGCGAGTCTCTTCGCCGTCGCGGAAGAACGAGTGTGGGTGTGCTTTTCCGTCGATAGTCATGCGCGTCCATCGGTGCTGGATAATCTTAACGTGCGCGGCGTGAATGTGAGGGTAGGTCTTAACGAAGTGGTCGCCAATGATGGCAGCGAATTGCTCGGGCGGGTCGATAGGGTTTTGTTTTGCGAGTATGTAGGTTGTTTGCTTTTGCGTGTCGGTCGCGACTATGACAGAGTTGTCTGCTTTGGTGTAGCTGGAGGTCGTTAATACAGGGTATACTAGAGTCTCGGTGGAGAAGCGTACGAAGTCTCAATGTCTCCCTCAAGTAGGACACAGACTGTTTGTTCAACGACGGTGTGGACACCGGTGTTGGGGTCCTTGTCGACCTTGTAGAGACGGACGTTGTCCTTGCCGTAGCGGGCGTGAGTAAGCTGAGACATTGCGAGCGAAGCTGTGCAGATTAGGATAATAGCCTGGAGTGCTTCAGATAAGGGCGCGAGGTGTATGTGATTAGGCGAGGGTCAGTTGGAAGCTGAAGGTGAGTGGATAGAGTTATCAAGAAGGGCGATCAAGCTAGATATACTTATGAAACGGCACCTTATCTGATGGACGGCACACGGAGGATACCGAACTGTACAGGAGCGGTTTGCGATTGAGGCACGAGCAAGCTATGGAGCGTCGGCAAAGAGGCGGCCAGAACGCGTTTCCATTCGTTGAGATGGCCTTCGGCGAGCTCCGATCGAGGGAAGAGGCCCTGGATAGCGGCGCAAGGCGCGCACGTGACGGCGTCAGAACCGCTCTCCGCCCGGAGATGCACCAGGCGCCATGGGACTACGGGGCCTGAATTGTCGGCACATGGATTTCTGCGGCATGTCAGGCCATGATGGTGAGGTGCAGGGCGGTGGATCTGATGGTCGCGAGCTCAGCGTTGCAAGGGTAGGTGGGTAGGGAAATGTGCACGTCCCCACGCTCAGCGGCTGCTGCCCGCAACACGTCGAGATGGCGATGCTGCGCGCCATGCACCATTCACTCACACTGTCATTACACCAGCTCCACACTCCCTAGCCTCTGCCCCAGCCGCTCCTTCCCCGAACCTCCGCCACATTTCCGTTTTTGGCTAGGCACCGCAGCGACAGCGACTTCACCTGGGCCCGCGAATGCTCATGAGGCAAGAGGAGGGCACCGCCGA